TTTGGATTATGCAATGCCCCCGCAACTTTTCAAAGATGCATGATGGCTATTTTCCCCGATGTCATTGAAGATATTATGGAGGTGTTCATGGACGATTTTTCTATCCATGGACCCTCCTTTGATGCGTGTTTAACCAATCTCCATCAAGTGTTAGACAGGTGTCTCAAGGCGAACCTGGTTTTGAATTGGGAGAAATGCCACTTCATGGTGCAAGAGGGCATTGTACTTGGTCATCGAATTTCGGACAAGGGAATAGAAGTGGATAGAGCGAAAGTGGAAGTGATTGAGAAGCTTCCACCACCGACCAATGTTAAAGGAATCCGAAGCTTCTTGGGTCACGCCGGGTTTTATAGGAGGTTTATCAAAGACTTCTCGAAGATAGCGAGACCTTTAACTGCGCTCTTGGGCAAGGATATCCCATTTGAGTTTAATGAGGAATGCCACAAAGTGTTTGAAGTTTTGAAGAAGGCGCTAGTATCACCCCCGATTATTCAACCCCCGGATTGGAGCATTCCTTTTGAGTTTATGTGTGATGCTAGTGATTTTTCGGTCGGAGCCGTATTGGGACAAAAGAAGGATGGGAAGCATTACGCTATATACTATGCAAGTCGGACGCTCGATGATGCTCAAATGAATTACTCCACCATGGAGAAAGAGCTCCTTGCTGTAGTATTTTCTTTCGAAAAATTTAGATCATACTTGGTGGGTTCTAAAGTCATCGTCTACACGGACCACGCCGCCTTGAGGTACTTACTCACGAAGAAGGATGCTAAACCAAGGCTGATCCGATGGGTGTTGCTTCTGCAAGAGTTTGATCTAGAAATCCACGATAGGAAAGGAACGGAGAATACAGTGGCAGATCATCTATCGAGATTGGAGATACCCGAAGTTATACCAATCGATGATTCACTAAGGGAAGAACACATATTATCCTTGGAGATCAAGAACATAACCCCTTGGTATGCGGATTACGTCAACTATTTAGTTGCCAAGGTTGTACCCCCGGAGTTAAGCTACAACGGGAAGAAAAAGTTCTTTCACGATGTTAGAGACTACTTTTGGGATGAACCTTTCTTGTTTAAGAGAGGCAAAGACCGGAGATGTATCCCGGAGGAGGAAGTACACCAGATCATACATCACTGCCATGCCTCGGACTATGCTGGCCATTTCGCCTCAGCTAAGACCGCAGCGAAGATCCTACAAGCAGGCTTCGATTGGCTGACATTGTTCAAGGACGTCCACACTTTTGTGAGCTCATGCGATGCTTGTCAAAGGACGGGCAACATATCCCGGAGAAATGAAGCACCGCAAAATTACATCTTGGAGGTAGAACCCTTTGATGTTTGGGGGATAGACTTTATGGGACCATTTCCCTCATCTTGCGGGAATCTATACATCCTTGTGGCAGTGGATTATGTCACGAAGTGGGTAGAAGTGTTAGCAAGTCCCAAGAACGACTCGAGCACCGTGACAAGGATGTTCAAACGGATAATATTTCCAAGGTTTGGAATGCCAAGAGTGGTGATAAGCGATGGCAGTGCATACTTTGTTAATAAGGTAATCCAAACCCTTTTGACAAAGTATGGTGTCCATCATAGAGTTGCAATTGCATACCATCCACAAACGAGTGGACAGGTGGAAGTATCAAACTGGGAGATCAAACAAATACTGGAGAAAATAGTGGCTAAGTCAAGTAAAGGCTGGGCCTTGAAGCTCGAAGACGCGGTTTGGGCATATAGAATGGCATTCAAGACGCCCATAGGGATGATCCCGTTCCAACTCGTGTATGGGAAAACTTGCCATCTACCGGTTGAGTTGGAACACAAGGCGTACTGGGCTATAAAGGCGCTGAATTATGATTGGAAGTCCGCAGCCGAAAAACGAATGTTGGAGCTCCACCACTTGGAGGAAATTCGCTTGGACGCATACGAGAATGCACGAATCTATAAGGAGCGGGCCAAGAAGTGGCATGATCGCCATATCCTCAACCGAAACTTCCAACAAGGTGATTTCGTGCTTTTATTTAATTATCGACTAAAGCTTTTTCCAGGTAAGCTGAAATCAAGATGGTCGGGACCATTCATCATAAAGAGCATCACCTCGCATGGAACGGTGGAACTCGACAATGGGAAAGGCGGCTCGTTCATGGTAAACACCCAAAGGATCAAACCATACAACCCAGGAAATACCAAGCGGGGAGGAGGGTCCTTTGTACTCTCCCTTTCTTTGATTGATTGAACGCCATCTCGGTCTAGCTACGACCTTAACTAGCAACCCCGGTTAACCCCGGGATATAAATTCTTCGAACCTCGTCATTTTCTTTTTGTTTACGTTAGAAAGGCTCCAAATCCTCCAATCCACTCTCATAGAACTAAGTCTTTTCATCGGGGGAGTAAGAAACGGGAAAAATCTACGTCGGGCGCCGGAGTACAGAAAAAACAGGCGAGCCGCTCATTTTATGGGCGACCGCTCGTTTAGATGTTCACATCGAGCGGTTGCTCGTTATTTCGAGCGACCGCCTGCTTCATTTCGAAAGAAATAAATAATCGGATCTCAAGCGATCGCTCGAGAAATCGAGCGACCGCCTGCCCAAAAAATCCGAATTTTAACTCGGTTTCGAGAGGGAGCGCCACTTCCCACACCGCACTCTCCTCTCTTCCTCTCTTACCGGCGAAACCCTACACGCTCTCCTCCACCTGTTTCCGCCTCCGTCTGACACCGTGCTGCCCCGCCGCTCTGATTTTCCGACACCCCGACGCCCCCACTCGCTCGATCTCCCTCGTTCTCGTTCTCCTCCATTCGAATCGGTAATCCCCCTCTCAAAATCATGTCATTAGGGCGCTTAGGATAAGGATAGGTCGAACATTTTGATGGGTATAGATATTAGGCTTGATATTGCTCGATTTCGGCCGGAAAATCTCGATTTCCGGCCAAAAGAATCGATGATCAGAACCAGTGAGCGGTCGCTTGTTTTTTCGAGCGATCGCCTGTTCACCCAGCGGTCGATTGAGCGATCGCCCGTAAAGCGAGCGACCGCCTGTGAGAACAGGCGGCCCGCTCGTTTTGTCTGTTCCGCGAAAAATCATTCGACTTTCTTCGCCCTAACCCCAATACCCCGATCCATATCGAATATACCCTTGCAGATGGCACCAAAAAGAGCTCGAACAAGTGACGTCGCCTCATCATCGCAAGAGGGCGAATTCTCTCCAAGGAGAGAAATGAGGCCGGGAACAATCACGACGATCTTGGATACGAAGCAGAATGTCCTCGTCGAGGGACCACCGAGATTACTCAAAATCGACAGACACGACGAGGCATACATGCGAGCAAAACATCTCTCCAAGCTTAAGCAACGGTCGAGCAAATTCATGTGTGAGAGCACAATGCGGGAATTGGGGATTCAAGCCAATGTGGAGTATATCTTCGAGAAGCTCGACTGGGGGCAACTGAGCAAGAGTGTAGAACCGTCATTCAGAAGCATCACCCACGAGTTTCTAGCCACATACTCGTGCTACTTCCCGGCGGACAACTCGATAGACGAGGCTTACATGGAGTTTCGCCTAAACAAGAATTGGGTCCGGTTGAGCATGGCCCAATTTGCTGACATTCTGGAGGTCTCCAAAGGGAAGCACTCCCTCATTTTCACTATATCAGCATATGTACTGCAAGACTTTTGGGAGAAAATAGCTATACGGTGCTATTCAAGCTCTGCGGGAAAGATCTAATGGGTGCAACATCCGACAATCCGCTATGCCCACTCAGTGATGAGGACCTCGGAATCCCGAGCGATGCATCAAACTATGTCTTGGAGATAAAAGAACGCATGGAGCTAATGATAGCTTGGAGCGGGAGCATGGACGAAAGCTTGGAACCTACGAAACATGGAGCTCAACCGGATCGCATGGAGCTAGGAGCTCAACCGGAGAATAACGTCCCACCCGATCACAAGGAGATCATCATCCGAGATGAGTCATGAATGGCTGTACAAAATCCGAAGCATGCACACTTCTATTCTCGGCCCGAACCACCGTTAACTCGAGCCAAAGCACGTACTCTTCGACAACACGTCAAACATGTTCGTCTCATGCCTTAAAACGAACCTTGAGTCGAAGAATGCAAGCTTACCTTCATCGGACCAGCCAAGACTCAACTCCTCTCCATCTCAAACCTTAATTTCGGCCAAGAATAGTCAAGACACAAAAGGGAAGCTTCTTGGAGTGCAAGCAACTTTTCCAACAGCTATATTCTTCCCACCTACCTTATTAAATGCATAGGCTCCCACCCCTCTTGCATGTTTAGCATTTAATCACAAAAGAGTTGTTGAAGTTTCTACTATTTATATGTGTTTTTCATATGTAAAACTCAGATTTGGTGAATGAAATTCGAGCTTATGCTTGAGACTTTGTTTGTTGAGAATTTTCTCCAAACTATCTTTCCGTTGGTGTGTCCGACGACGAGCTTCGGTGTGTCCGAGTTTTCTTTTCGGTTTGTCCGAATATTATCTATATTTTACCCTTGTTTCGACTTTGGCTTGAGTTCGAGAGCCTTCATAGAAGTGCCGGTGATTGAGCCATCGTCCCGTAATTCCCCTTCGATTCCATCTATTTCCCAAGAGTGAATTCGAGCGCCTCCTTCGCGAGTGCCGGTGATTGCAATTGGGCCATCTCTATACAACTCCGAAGCCGGTGCGTGTATCATTTTGGTATCAGAGCTTGCTCGAGCCAACGGACGTCTAACCCCGGTGAGATCTATCTTTTATTTCGGTTTATTTCGTAATCAAGTTTTGAGGGCAAAACACGGAGAAGAGAGAGGGAATGATGAGGACAAAACTTCTTAAGAGAGAGGGAATGATGAGGACATCGGATCTAACAACATCTCGTAAAGAAGATCTTGGCGGAAGCTGACATTGTTGCACGTTGAACATTTCTGCTATATTTGTTCGGACTTAGTGCTGCACGTTTTGTTACTTGCATATACCGTGGCCTGCTTTCTCAGTATCGATGGCAAACGTATCCAGTGACAGTTCGGTTTATAGGATGATCCAGCAGATTCAAGATCGTATCACACGACTTGAGGAGGTGAGCAAACCCGTGGAATCTGCTAGGGAGCTAAACAAACAAAGTGAGGGGAAGAGAACCATGCCAAAAAATCTAAAGAGGCCTCACCATGAACCCCTCGATGATGGCCGATTCAAGGATCCATATGACCGAGAATATCGTCGACCAACTCGTGATGAGAAGGCTGATCCAAAGTTCAAACTTTTCGTGTTTACTGGAAAGGAGGAGCCCGAGGTCTATCTTGAGTGGGAGCGCCAAATGGATGCCAATTTCGAATGTTATTCCTTGACGAACAGAAGGAAGATTCACTATGCGGCTGCCCATCTTGCCGAAGATGCCATCATGTGGTGGGAACGAGAAGAACGAAATCGACGACGTGCACATTATGAACCGGTTTCCACTTGGAAGGAGATGAAAATCCTCATGCGAAAAAGGTATGTATCTCGACATTGTCTTCGTGAATTACAATATAGATTTGACAACATCGTGCAGGGAGACAAGACGGTTGAGGACTATTTTGGAGAATTTGAACAACTCCTTGCTTACTTGAGAATCGACGACAATGAAGAAGATCTCATGGCACACTTTCTAGAGGGCTTGAAAGACCGAATCGCTAGAAAGGTAAACCCACACGTATATCGTGACTTGAGACATCTTGTGCATACGACAATTCAAGTAGAGTGACAAATGAACAAGAAGCTGTCAAAGAATGGGTGCCAACGAACGCCAACGCCAACGCGTATACCCGAAAACCTTTCCAATACCGGAGACCCAATGAAGGCGCAAAATCTTGATGCTCGAAAGGACGAAACTATCTTATATAAAAGAGAAGTCCACACACGAGGTAACAAAACTTCTTCCTCGTGTACTTATTTTACTTATGAGGTTCCGTGTTCGGAGTGTAGGAACCAAAGTCATTTGCCCAGTGGAAGTTCCATCCGACAAGAGGTGAGCATCAAGGATAACGGGGCATATCACTCAATCGCGTTGGCTGTGGGGAGGCACCTTGAGGATGATTTCGAAGTTCCATCTAACAAGGAGACCAAGAGCGTGACCGAAAAGAAAGAAACGGTCGAGAATCTCGGCTTTGTGATGGAAACAAAACCCAAAAGTTTGGCAAATGTGAGTGAAGAGCGGCAATATGTCAAGGAGAATGCATTCGTAGTCACGAGTAACAAGAAGGAATATGATGCCAAAGAAAGCGAGGATGAGAAGCCGAAGGAAAACGTACTTGAAAAGTCCAAGGC